AACCAGCACCACCCAGTTGAAACCTTGTCTCAAAAACCAACCCACACACATTCTCAGTGTCATACCCACACAGCCTTTGTCACATGCTGCAATACAGTATTCATCTCCAGGGAAATCACCTGGGCTGTGGCCCTGTGAAGCCATCTATCTTTTTAATACATCATTTTTACTTGAGAGAATGACTCACAAACCATGATTAAACAGAAGGAAGTGTTCCTTAAAAAGGAATGGTAAGACTCTAGAAGTTAAAATTAGAGTTTTGGAAAATATCCTCCCATGAGTGCCACGCTTCCCAGTGTTTGTCTTGTGCAGCTAACCACAGCTGTGAATGCCACAGCACAATGGCTGTGGTTTCTAAAAGCCACTGCTGGGCGGCAACTCAGGTTTCTCTGCTTGGCCAGCTGAAGGCTGCCGTGCCACTCATACTTCCAGCACCATCCTCTGTTCTAGCTGCCTCCCGTTATCTTACCTGTCTCTTGTTTACTTTCTCCAATAAAATGAGAGCTCCAAGAGGATGTGGGAGGGGAGTCCATTTTGAGATTAGTGGTATATTGACAAGATTTTAATGCTGGCTAATAAAACATACCAACACTGAAAGGTCTACATAGCTCAGTGAACTAGTGACACACACAAACACCACACACACTTGCATAATGTTACAGATGACTTTTAAAGGGCACAATAAACCCTTGATGTTTCACATTACAAGTCAAACATTTTTTGGTGCAGTTTTAAGATTCCACACTGCAACTGACCCATAAGAAACTATTGTGTGTTAGGTTTTGATGAGGCCATTTTTCATAGACTCAACCAGAACTGCTTGCCCTTAACTGTTCTGTGGGATTTGTAATAAAGACAGACACTGCTGCTCTTCTTACTAGATGTTGGGTTTGAAAAATAAAGCGATTTTTGTAATAATTATTTCTGTTCTATCCATGTGCTTATCACTTGTCACAAAATTTTCTATCAGAAAGCAAAACAAACTCATACCACAAGGCCTGAGCTTGCACATCAAGCTGTAGGGTCCTGTAGTCTGCATATGCACATATAATATGGAACTGGCTTGTTCTTTCAAAATGTAGGTGATACAGATTTTAGAACTGGCAACAGCAGATCCTGTCACAGTAAACTAGTTGCCCAGGTACGAAGCTTCCCTTAAAAGATCTGATTATTTCTAATTAAAACATTTAAAAAGCTGAGTGTAGTGGCCAATGCCTATAACCCCAGGAGGCTGGGGAGGACAGAAGGAGAGTTGAGACCAGCCTGTGCTCTGTAGCAAGACCCTGTCTCCAAATAACAATACTAATTTGTTCACTTATGAGTTAGCAGGTACATAAAAGAGTGAACTCATAAGTGACTCAGCAAAATCTCAACATACTGTATAGACAATAATAATACAGCTCAGAGCAGGGAATTGTTTGAAGTGGTTATCCTCCCATCTCTGTTCAGAGTTTTCAAAAGAACATGTGGGTGGGGGAGCGTGTTAAACTCGGGCACTGAGGTCTTCATTAGCATGCATCTCCATGTAGCCCTGCTGGGATCCATAATAGAATTCTTCCCACGAACCTTTGCTTGCGGGTTCCTCTGCAGTTCCACAGGCTGTGGCTTAATGAGCCTGCATTTCCTTAAATAGACAAAGGTATGGCTAAGGCAATAAACAATTCTGCTGTATGCCCTGCCATTTTGTTGGACTTTGATGGCATCTGGAATATGCTGAGCCAGGAGGATCACGTAGCCACTTAGCCTGGGAAATATGGGCAAGGCTAGTCAATTCTCACTACCTGTAAGGCCATTTGGCTTAGTAAAGGGGAAAGGGTGAGAACATTCAGGAAGAAAGTAGGAAACCCATACTGACTAGGAAGTGTGATCTTGAGGCAAATCTAGTGCTTAGGAACTAAGGGATTTAAATATGTGTCATTTAATTTTGTGTGTATTTGCTTTGCTTTTCCTTTTCTTGGCTGAGGCAAAGCCTTGCTATGTAGCCAAGCCTAGTCTCAACTCAAATCAGCCCTCTAATTCAGCCTCCTGGTTATAGGTGCACAGCACCATGCCTTGCTTTGTTTTGTTTTGCTTTTTATTTTGGTTGCTCAGTTGTTTATTTTGAGACAGGGTCTCACTCTGTAACCCAGACTAGACTTACAATGATCCTTCTGCCTCAGCCTCCCACATGCTAAGTCACCATCCTTAATTCATAGATAAAATGTTTTAACCAGCAGTTAAGACCTAGCAAGTGCAAGGCCCTTGGTTTGACCCCCCAGTACCATTCAATCAGTTGTGGAGTAAGCATAGTAATGAATGCTAGGAAGGACAGGGTAGAATAAGTAAATTCAATCCTCTTCTGTCATAAGAAAAATAATCATAGGTCCCATTTAAAATGGTGTGTCAGAGAGAGAGAGAGAGGCTATTTAGGAGGTAAGAATGAAAACAGAATGGTCATATAAGTTATTTGACAGGTAAGCTTGGTCCTAGGAGAGAAGTGTTGGAGAGGATTGAGACACAGTCCTCATTCAGTCTATATTCCAGGTTGACCTGGAATTTACTGTGTAGCTCAGGCTAGTGTCAAACTCACAGCAATTGTTCTGCCTCAGCCTCCAGAGGGCAGAGTTACAGGTGTGAGCCACCACACCCGATAAGAGTATGTGTGATGATCAGTTTTTGTTTTGTGTTCTTGTTGATTAGAACCAGCCTGTGTGTATTGTAGGTAATAAAAGCAAACCATTTCAAACTGAGCCCTAGCTAGCTAAACCCAACCTACCTATTAGTAGGTTGGGCTGGATGGACAAGTGGACCTGATGTGACACATGTGATTTGGATCTGGTAAAGTCCCAGCTTTGGCTGTTGGCCTTGTTGAGACAAGAATGATGGCAAGGACGTGCAGCCTCCTGCTATTCTGGTGTGTGACCTTTCTTTGAAGATTTGTATACCAGACGAGAACTCCTGACAGAGCATTACAAAGTGGGGCTTTGTAGCTGAGATTTCATCCTCTGGATGGCCTAGGAGATGGCTCTGTTCTGATTAAGTTACCCATGGAGGATTATAGTCACAAAACAGTTCTGGGCCTGGGAGCCTGTCTCTGCTGCATCCCCGTGTTTCCTAGCATTGGTTGGCCACTGCCGGTACAGTACATCCTAGGAGGTCACTTCTGCTTGTTTTTTCAGACGGGATCTCTCTTGGTAGCTGTGGCTGGTCTGGAACTCATTTCATTGACCAAGCTGGCCTTGAACTTGTGGCAATTCCACCTCATCCTCCTGAGTATTGGGAATACTCGTGTGTGCCACCATGTCTGGCTAATATTTTATTTGTGTGAGTTTTGCTTTGTTCTGATATTACGGGTATGCCATTATATCCAGCTTCTAAGTTGTTCCTTTAAAACTCACTGTTTAGACCCTTCCTAAGATGTGCTGAGTGAAGATATCTTCCTCTCATCCCTTGTTCCCATTGTCATGTGATAGGGTTCAGCATCTTGCAGCTTCAGTATTCCTTGGGGAAGCACTGCATTTGGAGAAATACCAGTGAAGTAATTTAAAAACACCTGCACCAGAGCTAGAACAACGAAGTCTCACCCTGGGTGCATGTTTTCCCACTTGTATCTCCTTCCTGCCTCCGTTTACTCTGAGCTAGAAATAGGTAGAGTCTGTCCGTGCAAGGTGAGACCTGGGGGGGGGGTGTGTGCAGGGCACTAGGAAAGTGTCATGAACACAGTGACCATTGATGTTTCCCCATCATCAGCCTCCAGCATGGCCACTGTAGTCTCCCCCACTCTGTTTCCTGTAAAACTACACCAGGAAGGTGACAGGATGCAAAGAGCCTCTGTTGTTCCCCCTGAGCTGAAGCATTTCTAGCCACACAAGAAAGGTTGAAAATTGCTGGTTTCTTTCCAGAACCTGCCATCAGGGAAACTGGTTTCTGACGTGTGTGCATTTAAAGTTCCTTAAATAGAACCCATTTAGCTGTCCTATGGCTATAGAGGACTTCCTTGTGGCATCAGAAATGACAGAGCTTTTGAGGCCAGCCTCTTCTGTCTGCATCAGCTGCATCAGGAGCAGGATTTGTCACCCTTCACAGAAGACTGGCCTGGCTTCTGACCTGCCCTAGCCACCTCATAGCCCTGGCTCTCCCCAGTCCAATGAAGGGCATGAAACCCTCAATGCTTTGCTTCTTGCTGCCTTAGCCAGCTTGTAGCAGAGGAGGTGAGGCTGTGGCATATAGACTCATGGAGGGGTTTGCAGACAAGAAACCAGCTGTGTCCTACCTTTGTGAAAGTTAGATTTTATTAGGGAAGAAAACAAGGGTGAATTTAGAAGGTACGGATGAAGAAAAGAATCATTCATAAGAAGTACAAAGGGCTGGAGAGATGGCTCAGCAGTTAAGAGCACTGACTTCTTCTGGAGGACCTGGGTTCAGTTCCCAGTACCCACATGGCAGCTCCCAACTGTCTGTAACTCCAAGATCTGACACTTTTACACAGACATACATTTAGGCAAAACACCAATGCACATAAGATAAATATTAAAAACTGTTTCCTTTTTTAAAAGAAGGCAAAAGGAAATAAACAATATTTTGATCTTAGACTGGACTATAAGAGACTCAAAAATCTAATAATAAAATGAATTGTTTCAATTTCACTAGATATAAAAGACATTTAACAAACATCAAGACATGTTTGCCTGTCAGGATGAGCAAAGATGACTTTAACTCATAAAGCCTAATGTTGGTAGAAGTGTGAGGAATCAATCTAGTGCAGTCTTGCACAGTTGTTACAGCTCTGCCATCTTCTTGGAGCACCATTAGATAGGAAGTGTCACTGTTTGAAATGCATATGCTTTTTGATGTGGATGGCTGACTTGAGAAATATCTCTGAGAAGGTGATCAGTCAAGTGACCCAAGGTGTGTGTCCAAAGAGCTTCAAATAGCTGATAATAATGAAATATTGGATGGAAACCAGCAGTAGAGTCAGAATTAATCCCAATAATAAAATTTTGAAAAAGAAATCTCAACTCATTATCCATGTGGTAGAATGAGCTATTGGTCTCAATATTTGAAGTGGACTTTTACTATGCTGTTCAGGCTCATCTCAAGCTCCTCAGCTACAGTATCATCCATTGTACCCCAGGGAGCCCAGGGGTGGTCTCAGTACCTCATCCCAGTCTACTCATGTGAGATCCTCATCCGCAGGGTCAACTTCTGTGTCCCTTGACCTTGGACTTGGCATGTGATATCTCTTGGCTGGTTGTTATGGAAGTCTGGCCACAGTTACCAGAAGGTGAGTAACATCCCTTTGTAAAGGTGGGCAGGACTTGTCAGCCCCTCACCTGAGACTCCAGCTCCCACCCCACAGCTACAGGTAACCTGCTCAGCTGCATTTGGTCATGGCAGTGCTAGAGTGCTTAGGGAGTGGGAGGTTCACTGAAGATGGGATCCCATTGGTGCAGCCTTCATGCACCACCACCAGTGCTGCCTGAGTCATCCATGCTCCTGTAAGGAAGCCATGTGAACCTACTGGTAGGTTCACTGAGCCCTGTCTCCAGTGCCCTCTTGATCTGTGGTGAATGTGTGTCTGTTTACATTGTCTCAGGAAATGTCACATGATACAAATGGTGTTAGGCTGACGTGACGCAGACCATAAGAAACAGTAACTTTGCATTCCTACTATATTTTCTGTAAGAAGACATGCCCTGTGCTTCCTTGCCCCAGGAAGGGTGAGATATCCAGACAAGACTTTGTCAAGCTGAGCATATGTCCAGATGGGGCTATCCCAGCTCAACCAAAACCCAGCCAACTTCCAGGCTTGATATAGATGGTACATGCATAGTCTGAGTTTGCTCAGATGTTTGTCCAATTAAGTAACTAAGTGTGGAGGCAATTGCTTACACAGCCATAGTTAATGATACAATCCATCAGTTGAAAATATCTTATACCATACTAAGGAAGTGTTTAAATGGTCAAAATGGCTTTGGAACACTAGCTTTCTAGGTAGAATTACCTATAATAACATGGGCACTCAGACATATGGAGAAGTTAACTGCTGTGGGCACTTTCGAAAAATGAGAACCAGGGAAATGCTGGATTCTTGAGCTGTAGTCTTTGGTTTGGTTTGGTTTCAGTTTTCAAAGAACACTGGTCTGTTTCATGCATATGTACTAAGAAAGCTGAGTAGCCTGTCTGGAATACAGAGGTGTTGTGCTAGAGGCTAGAGGAGCCCCGAGGACAGGCAGTCAGAAAGAAGCACAGGCCCAAAATGTAAAGAGGCAGACAGTGACGGGGGCAGGAATGCTTCCTAGGGCACTATGGAAACTGCACTAGCTCTAGGTCCTCCCAATAAATATACAATATTATTATTTTAACTGGCCTGCTTTTGAAGGGAAGCAAATCCCCAAGATTCAGTGGGAACACTTTGCTGTGGCATGACTCAAGAGGGCATCTTCCTGCCAGTATGCACATCTGTTCCCATTGTATGGCTTTGAGCAGAGGTAGTGACATGTGGGGCTGACACCAGACTTGGGGTTGCAGCATCTAACTTGGGGTTGTAGCATCTGAACTCTCATACAGGAGGGATTGTGGATGAAGGTCAAGCAGAGAGCATCATAGCACAAGAGATGGATTGCAGAGTCAGCCAGAAACAGATGTCACGTGCTCCCTCAGCCCTGGTGGCTGAGTCACTGTGTTCCAGCTGCAGGACATTTCAAACCTGGCTTTATCCTGCAATGAAAAGCCAAGAGGAGGTGCCTGTTTCACTGTTGTGAGAGTCCCTTCAGTACCTGGAGTCATCAATCAGTGACTTCTAGAATTTAATACACATGAGATCACTTTGAAAATTAAATGCTTATCAGATACTAAGAGCTGCAAACTGGACTTTGGGGTACTTGTGGGGGAGTCTGTAATCTTAAGTCACATGCCCTACTCAGCCCACCCTTTCTGAGAGCAGTAATGGGTCAGCACCCAAGGAACACTGTACGGGACAGTGACAGGCTGGTGCCTAGAGATGAGTAAATGTGACAAGTTCAGAAGGTCACCAGGGTTTCAAACCAGGAAAAATACTGGTGAATGTGATGAAGGAATTTGTCACAAGTATGATGAGAAGTTGGAGGGACAAAATACAGCTCCTGAAAAGTGTTTCCTAGGCTGTTCACAGAAGTGCCAGGCTTTATGCGAAATGCTTCACACAAGGTTTAGTATTAATATCCAGTGTTCAACTTTCTTACCTGTATTCGAGAAATAAAAAGTGAGAAACAAAAACTCTTGCTGTAGTCTAGACATGACCCTGCAATTAGCTCTGTGCAAGCCAGTGTCAGAGCAGTGGCAGCAATGGGAATGGAGTTAGCTGAGTATCTGGCCTTGTGAACTCCAGAGAGCAGAGCCTGGCAGGACACGAGGCTGGGATGCTCCTGTAATTTCTGGCATGGGAATTTTGCTCCTTGTGATCTGGGAAAAGTGGAAGCTGCCAGACATCACTTGCTTGGATATTTTCATATGCTAGAAAGCTAGCACAGCGTTGAAGAGTATTTGTTGCTTTTGTAGAGGACCTGGTTTGATTCCCAGCACTAACATGGTGGCTCACAACCAACCATAACTCCAATTTAAGGGGATTTGATGTCCTCTTCTAATCTCTAAGGGAACAAAGCATGCACAAGGTACCGCACATAAATGCAAACAAACAATAATTTTTTAAAGTTTATTTTTTGTTCACTTGGTTTTAAATTTCAGTGCACACGTGTACATGCACAACTACATTCATAATGTAGGGCACGTGTACTGTGGCATGCACAACTACATTCATAATGTAGGGCATGTGTACTGTGGCATGTGAGGGGAGGTCTGTTCACGATGTCATAGCATTCATTCTGTTCTCTCACCATTATGTGAGTGCTCAGGATTGAACTCAGATCTCTGGGCTTGCATAGCAAGTACCTTTACCCACTCAGCCATTTTGCAGGTCTTGTTTACTCAGAGTTTTGAAACATGTCCACAATTTAGTGCTGGCCAGTGTAGAACTTCCTTCACAACCCAGACTGGACTTTAACTTGCCATGGTCCTTCTACCTCTGCCTCTTCCAAAAACTCCATTGTTTTTTAAGGTTACCCAAGCAATATATGCTCTTCTTACAAATTAAAACAGTACCAGTAAGATGAAGCCTCTTCAACACCAGTCCATGGCCCTATATTGTTAATTCATTGTTTGGTTCTAGGCTGTCTTCTAGTGAGGTTTCCATGACAATTGATTATTGTTCTGTGGGGTGGCATCAGACTCTGTCATTCCACAATTTGCTGTTTTCCACTCCTCGGTTTGCCTTACAGAGTTTTCTGCCAGTTCATAGTTCCTCCATGTTCTTCTTAATTCTTTTGCATATTATTGTGTAATAAACTAACAAGGTTTGTTTATAGGCAGAGACTCTCCTCTTTCTCAGTTTAATTTTTAGTGATTATAAACACAGACTTGTAGGTACCTTCTTTGGGTGCTTCTTGTCTTCATGACCCATCCAAGAGCCCCTCACACAAATGAACACATTGAGTGACAACCATTCCATCACTGACAGCTAGCTTTTCAGTGCCAGCACCCTCACACTTTTTTCCTGTCCCAGACCATCTCTGACCCCCAAGAACCAGTTGGAGGTATAGGGCAGTTGACACCCTAGGGAACATTGGCTGTGGGCTTCCCCTGTATTTCTTGGGATTTTCAAGCCAGCTCACTAGCTACATGAGCCTTTATGCATGTTAGCCTTTGTATATTTTGCTCTGGCACATTCCTGGTTGCCACTGTCTGAGAAGCCATTCCAGGTCCTGCTGGAGAGGCCACATCCTCCCCAAGACACCATGTTTTGTGGAATTGGGCCATTCTGTCTTCCTAGAACACCCAGAAGAACCACACAGCAATACTAGTGCATATAGGAAATTGTCCATGCCACTGCCCTCTTTTGTCTCCTTGAAGCAGGTTTCTCATTCCCCCAGGGCTCTCATAGCCCTCATGAGACCATGCTACCAATCTCTGGGGGCTCAGACACAAGTCTGTGGGAGCAAGTCTAGGAACAAAGAGTTGAGCAGACATCTTGGTGACAACCAAATGTCACTTTTTGTTATTATGATGACCAACTTAACCCAGGTGCTACACACATCTGAATCCATTCTAGGCTCCATGAGCTGAGTCCCCCTGGTATGCATGAATGATACAAAGGTCCCATGAATGTTGCAGAAACCCATGTCTGCTTCAAAAAGAATTATTTCCACCAGCCTGAGCCAGTAATTTTCATTCATTCTTCAGAACCTTGCCCTATAGCCCTTGGGCCCCAACCAGCCCCAAGCAGATTGGCAGTCCCTTTGATATCCTGAAGGTGCCCATGTAGGACACTAGCTCCTTCCCTCTATGCCATAACCATTGACAGTGCTGATGCTCCCATGAGACCAGTTGAATGTTAAGAACAAGCTGCCTGGCTTGTCTTTAAATTCCCAACTCAGAGCCTGGCCTGTCTAGGTGGGCAGAAGGTGTGTCTCTAGGGAATAAGTGAAGGAATGAGACGTTGAGATCTTCCCTGAAGTGGAACCATCACTGCTGGATGGACTCACTTCCAACTGGCTCAGGCTGAGAGTGGCCCCTTCAGACAGAGGCTGATCTCACTCAAAGAAAGGTCTGAGCTAGGTGTGGGAGTGAAGAGAGAGGGCCTACCAGAGGCTAGGGAGGGGTGGCAATAGGGTAGTGGACTAGTTTACTTTTCTGTTGCTGTGATAAAACACTTGGTTAAAAGCAATTTTGGGAGGAAAAGGATTGCTTGGCTTAGAGACCTCTTTCATTGAGGAAAGTCAGGGCAGAGACCATAGAGGAATGGTACATTCTGGCTCACTCCCCATGGCTTGCTCAGCCTGCTTTCCAACCTGGCCCACCTGCCCAGGGCAATACCACCTACAGTGGACTGGAACCTCCCAACTCAGTCACTAATTAAGAAAATCCCCCCAGGCTTGCCTACAGACCAATCTGATGGAGACATTTTTTCCAATCAATGGTCTCTTCCAATGGTGATTCTAGTTTGCATCTAGTTAACAAAAAGCTAACCAACCAGCACCAGAAGAAACCCAGCATGTGTCCCAAGTGACAAGAATAACAAAGTCTGGACATTTTGCACAGACTAGGAGTATAGTCTATAATAATGAAGTCTATATTCAACATAGCTAGAAGATAGGTTTTTATATCTACCACAAACAGTAAGTTAATAAGTAATTCTGTAAGTTGAGGTGGGATGCTAATTACATGAGGCAGAAAATCACAGCACTCCCA